ACTCCAGCCTGGGCAACAGAGTGAGACTCAGTCTAAAAAAAAAAAAAAAAAAAAAAAAAAAAAACACCATATATGGAAACACTCTATTTTAGAATAAAATTAAGTTTCATTATTCCCCTCCAAGACTTTTCAACCTAAAGACTAGAAGCTTCGGTGATCATGGGAGGTTAGTGAGGGAAGGCTGAGGGCTTATATGCACACACAGAAAACACGAAAAAAGTTACTAAAAATAAATTATAAATAAATCACCAGAAAGCATATTTATTGGACTTCAACAGGCTTAACTTCCAATATAAAATTTAATACATTATATATTTCCTTTATCAAAGGAATGAGAAAATTCCATCACAATAGTGTCAATTTTTGAATTCTTTTTAAATTCCACATTAAGGAAAGGAACAAAATTCCAGGGTGATAAATCTAGTAAGTATGATGGATCATAAAACCCCAAATTTAATGACTTGCTGATAAAACCCAGATCAAACACATTCAGTAAGAGGGGATATTCTTGCTAGTATTACACCTCACTGAAAGTAACATCACTCTCCATTTGCCCTTGGCCACTTGGTACTTGCTTATAAATTACTCTCATATTTATCAAATAAACAAGATGTTTTAGTTTTCAAACATTTTGTAAAGTCTTGTCTTCTGAGAATATTCAGTAAGATTTGATAAGTTCCACTTTAGGGAATTCAGGTCAGAATTAAAATGGTAAAATAATGGGTTTGTCACTAAACTTTGATTGTTAAAAAAATTCTAGACCCTAAATGATTCTTTGTTTTCATTATCCCCAAACTTCCAATTTACATTACACAGTCAACAAAATCACAAACAGAACACTGTAGAAGGTATAAGATGACCCAGGCCTAATCTTTTGCCCATTAACAACTGCTAACACTTTGACAAAGTTAATACCTTTCTAGAAAATGAATATAATAATGACCCATATACCTTCCAGGATAGTGATGCAGATAAAATAGGAAGAATTTATAGTATAATTTGGAAAATCACAGAAAATATTTTGCAAATAATTTACCTGATAAAGGACGTATATCAATATAAAGAACTTTTACAACTCAGTAATAATAATAATTTTTAAAAACCCAGTTAAAATGCAGGTAAAGAATCTGAATGGACATTTCTTCAAAGACGACAGACAGATGGCAAATAAGCATAGAAGTTGTTCAACATTACTGGCATCAGGGAAATGCAAATCAAAGCCACAGTGGAATACCATGTCACATCTACTAGGATGGTCAGAATAAAAGAGTGAGGTAATAACTAGTTCTGGTAAGTATGTGGAGAAATAGAGATTCTCATATACTGCAGATGGGAATGTAAATGGTGAAGCCACTTTGGAAAATAGTCTGGCAGGTCATCAAAGTGTTTAGACATAGAGTTAGCATTTGATCCAGCAATTGTACTCCTATGTATATACCCAAGATGAGTGAAAATATATATACCCAACAAAAAAAAACCTGTACACAAATGCTAATAGGTATGTAATATACAAAAGGTAGAAACAATACAAATGTACATCAACTGATGAATGGATAAACAAAATGTAGTACATTCATACAATGGAATATTAGCCATAAAAAGAATGAAATATTGTTACATGCTACAACATATCATGGATAAACCTTGAGAACATTATGCTGAGTAAAAGAAACCCGTCACAAAAGGCCACATATTGTATGACTCCATGTGTATAAAATGTCCAGAATAGATATACAAATCCATAGATATACAAAGTAGATTTGTGGTTGGCTATGGATGAAGGGATAGGATGGTTGGTGTTTATGGCCAGAGGGTACAGGTCTCTTTCTGGGTGATGAAAATGTTCTAAAATTGACTATGGGGATGGTTGTACAACTGTGAATATGCTAAAAATCATCAAATCATACACTTTAAATGGGTGAATTACATGACATATAAATTACATCTCAATAAAACCGTTCTTAAAATACACGTACATACATATAAAACACTCCAAGTATGAGGTGCTATTAATTTGAATCCACTAAGCTATCCCAAAGCCTAACATATGTCTGGCACAGTGGCTCACACCTGCAATCCCAGTACTTTGGGAGACCAAAGCGGGTGAATCACTTGAAGTTAGGAGTTCGAAACCAGCCTGGCCAACATGGTGAAACTCTGCCTCTACTAAAAATACAAAAATTAGCTGGGCGCAGTGGCAGACGCCTGTAATCCTAGCTACTCCGGAAGCTGAGGCAAGAAAATCACTTGAACCCGGGAGACAGAGATTGCAGTGAGCCAAGATGGCACCACTGCACTCCAGCCTGGGTGACAAAGTGAGACTCTATCTTAAAAAACAAACAAACAAACAGAGAGGCTGGGCATGCTGGCCCATGCCTGTAATCCCAGCACTATGGGAGGCTAAGGCAGGTAGATCATCTAAAGTCAGGAGTTCCAGACCAGCCTGGCAAATATGGTGAAACTCAGTCTCTACTAAAAATACAAAAAATCTTAGCCGGGTGGTACTGGCATGTGCCAGTAATCCCAGCTACTTGTAAGGCTGAGGCAGGAGAATTGCTTGAACCCGAAAGGCAGAGGTTGCAGTGAGCCAAGATTTCACTGCACTCCAGCCTGGGTGACAGAGTAAGACCCGGTATTAAAAAAAAATAAAGCCTAACATAGCAGAATTGTTCTATTAACTAATGTTTATTAGCTAATTGTAATACGGCAATCAAAATTAATTTGATAAATCAATTTTTACTTATTCCAAAGTATAACTTAAATGGTTTGTCATCAAACCTGACAAAAACAAGCAATGGGGAAAGGAGTCCCTGTTTAATAAATGGTGTTGGGAAAACTGGCTAGCCATGTGCAGAAAGCAGAAACTGGACCCCTTCCTGACACCTTACACTAAAATTAACTCCAGATGGATTAAACACTTAAACATAAGACCTAACACCATAAAAACCCTAGAAGAAAACCTAGGCAAGACCATTCAGAACATAGGCGTAGGCAAGGACTTTATGACCAAAACACCAAAAGCATTGACAACAAAAGCCAAAATAGACAAATGGGACCTAATCAAACTCCACAGCTTCTGCACAGCAAGAGAAACAGTTGTTAGAGTGAACTGGCAACCAACAGAATGGGAAAATATTTTTGCAATCTATCCATCTGACAAAGGGCTGATATCCAGAATCTACAAAGAACTAAAACAGATTTACAAGAAAAAAAAAACAAGCCCATTCAAAAGTGGGTGAAGGATATGAACAGACACCTTACAAAAGAAGACATACAAAAGGCCAACAAGCATATGAAAACATGCTCATCATCACTGGTCATTAGAGAAATGCAAATCAAAACTACACTGAGACACCATCTCACGCCCGTTAGAATGGCGATTATTAAAAAATCTGAAGACAACAGATGCTGGAGAGGATGTGGAGAAATAGGAACACTTTTACACTGTTGGTGGGAGTGTAAATTAGTTGAACCATTGTGGAAGACCCTAGAAACAGAAATTCCATTTGACCCAGCAATCCCATTACTGGGTATATATCCAAAGGATTATAAATCGTTCTATGATAAGGACACATGTACACGAATGTTCATTGCAGCACAGTTTACAATAGCAAAAACCTGGAACCAACCCAAATGCCCATCGATGATAGACTGGACAGGGAAAATGTGGCACATATACGCCATGGAATATTATGCAGCCATCAAAAACGATGAGTTCGTGTCCTTTGTAGGGACATGGATGAACCTGGAAACCATCATTCTCAGCAAACTGACACAAGAACAGAAAATCAAACACTGCATGTTCTCACTCATAGGCGGGTGAACAATGAGAACACATGGACACAGGGAGGGGAGCATCACACACTGGGGTCTCTCGGCGGGAAATAGGGGAGGGACAGCAGTGGGTGGGGAGTTGGGGAGAGATAGCATGGGGAGAAATGCCAGATATAGGTGATGGGGAGGAAGGCAGCAAATCACACTGCCACGTGTGTACCTAAGCAACAATCTTGCATGTTCTTCACATGTACCCCAAAACCTAAAATGCAATTAAAAAAAAAATAGTTTGTCATCAACTAATTGATATTTCTTACTAAATCTTTCATTCCACTTAAATATTATGAGACAATTATCCAAGACTTTTTAAAACAAAGTGATTACTGTTTGTCAACTATTTTCAAAAGTGATAAATGTTAAATGCAATAGAAAAAGACAAATACAAAGAAGTGCATGGAAAAAAACAAAATCAGCATCAGCTCACCATCACAATAAAAGTTAACGGTGATAAGGAGGTATATGTCCTTAATATATGCATTAACAAGCTTTAATATATGAACTTTGTTTTCAAAGTAAAAAAAAAACACATATTAGTTTCCAATCTATTCCACTTGATTGTTTCTTTTTTCCTTTGTATATTTGATTTTTCCCCCCTTTTTCTTTCCAACTTTTATGTTAGGTTCGGACAGTACATGTGCAGGCTCGTTACAGGAGCAAATTGCATGTCATGGGAGTTTGGTCTACAGATTATTTCATCACGCAAGTAATGAGCACAGTACCCAGTATTTTTGATCCTCATCTTCCTCCCGCTCTCCACCCTCAGTAAGTCACTATGTCTATTGTTCCCTTCTTTATGTCCATGTGTACCCAATGTTTAGCTCATACTTATAAATGAGAACCTCTAATATTTGATTTTCTGTTCCTGTTTTAATTCATTTAGGATAATGGCCTCCAGCTGCATCCATGTTGCTGCAAAGGAGAAGGTTTCATTCTTTTTTATGGCTGTATGGTATTCTACGGTGTATACATACAACATTTGCTTTATCCAGTCCACCACTGACGGGTATCTACATTGATTTCATGTCTACAATTTATATTCATTTGGATTCTGTTCTAAGTTATTTTAGAAATCTCCCAACTGCTTTCCAGAATGGCTGAACTCATTTACTTTCCCACTAGCAGCATATATGCATTCCCTTTACTTAACAATTTAAGATAAATATTTTCCCATGAAAATAAGTATTATTCTACAAGATGATTGTTCACGGCTGTATAGAATTCTATAATTAGGGTGTATTATATTTACTCAACTAACAATCTTAGTAGACATTAATTTTTCTTTTCAGTTTTACTTATAAATTATACTGCAATAAATCTTTGAACATACCTTTTTATACATATCTTTGATTATTATAATTTTTTTTTGAAATGGAGTCTCACTCTGTCGCCCAGGCTAGAGTACAGTGGCACGATCTAAGCTCACTGCAACCTCCACCTCCCAGGCTCAAGCAATTCTCCTGCCTCAGCTTCCCGAGTAGCTGGAATTACAGACACACACACAGCTAATTTTTGTATTTTTTGGTAGAGACAGGGTTTCGACACGTTGGCCAGGCTGGTCTCAAACTCCTGACCTCAGGTGATCCACCCACCTGGGCTTCCCAAAGTGCTGGGTTCACAGGCGTGAACCACTGCACCCAGTCAATTTTTTTGTATTTTTAGTAGAGACGAGGTTTCACCATGTTGGCCAGGCTGATCTCAAACTCCCGACCTAGAGTGATCTGCCCACCTCACCCACCCCAATTATAGGTGTGAGCCACCATGCATGGCCTGGAGTATAGATGTTTTTAAGTCTTAATAAAGACTACCAAACTGCCTTCAAATGTGAGAATTATACCAATTTGAATTTGAACTTGCTTTCCACACTTCACCAATACTAGATATTAACACTCTTTTTTACCTTTCCCAGTCTGATAAGAAAAAGAACAATATCTCATTAAAAAAATTACATTTATTTGCTGTGAGACAACCTACTTTCAAGTATTCATTGGCCATTTTGTATCTTCTTTTGTGAACTACTATTTATGTTTTTTGCACATCTTTTCTACAGCAGTTGACTATACTGTTCACTTCTCAAACAGGTATAGAATCATTTAACAAGATTAATCTTTATTACTAGTGGCAGAGATTTTATATATATATATATATATATACATACATATATATATATATATATATACATACATATATATATACATACATATATATATACATACATATATATATATATACATACATATATATATATACACATACATATATATATATATATATATACACATACATATATATATATATATTCTCCTGCCTCAGCCTCCCAAGAAACTGGGACTACAGGCACACACCACCATGCTTGGCTAATTTTGTTTGTTATTTGTACTAGAGACGGGGTTTCACCATGTTGGCCAGGCTGGTCTTCAACTCCTGACCTCAGGTGATCTGCCTGCCTCGGCCTCCCAAAGTGCTGGGATTACAGGCATGAGCCATTGCATCCGGCGAGATATTATATATTAATACATTGTCAGTATAGTCAATCCTATTGAACTGACAAAGCAGTAGACAAGTGTGTCTAAGACAATGTTCTACAAATATATACAGGCAAAGATCCAAATATGCACAAAATATAGCTTGAGAAAAATATTTGTTTTGTTCTGTTTTTTTGAGACAGAGTTTTGCTCTTGTTGCCCAGGCTATAGTGCAGTGGCACAATCTTGGCTCACTGCAACTTCCACCTCCCAGGTTCAAGTGATTCTCCTGCCTCAGCCTCCCCAGTAGCTGGGATTACAGAAGCCCCCCACTATGCCCAGCTAATTGTGTGTATTTTTAGTATAGAGATGGGCTTTCACCATGTTGGCCAGGCTGGTCTCAAACTCCTGACCTGAGTGATCCACCCACCTCAGCCTCCCAAAGTGCTAGGATTATAGGCATGAGCCACCTCGCCCAGCCAAGAAAAATATTTAAAGTAGATCATAATCATTGCCGTTTACTCAATAAATTCATCTAACTGAGGCCAGGCATGGTGGCTCATGCCTGTAATCCCAGCACTTTGGGAGGCAAAGGAGGGTGGATCACCTGAGGTCCAGAGTTCAGGACCAGCCTGGGCAACATGGTGAAACCTTGTGTTTACTAAAAATACAAAAAAAAATTAGCTGGGCATGGTGGCAGATGCCTGTAGTCCCATCTACTCAGGGAGGCTGAGGCAGGAGAACCACTTGAACCCAGGAGGCAGAGGTTGCAATGAGCCAAGATCGTGCCACTGCACTCTAGCCTGGGTGACAGAGGGAGACACCATCTCAAAAACAAAAAACATCTAAGTGGAACATGACTTTTTTTTCTATGGCTGTCTTTTCATTTCTAATTTCTACAAACCAAGATAAGCATTAAAATGAAAGAAAGCAAAACTGAGCCGGGTGCAGTGGCTCATGCCTGTAATCCCAACACTTTGGGAGGCTGAGGCAGGTGGATCACGAGGTCAAGAGATCAAGACCATCTTGGCCAGCATGGTGAAATCCCATCTCTACTAAAAATACAAAAATTAGCTGGTGTGGTGACGTGCGTCTGTAATCCCAGCTACTCGAGAGGCTGAGTCAGGAGAATCCCTTGAACCAGAGAGGCAGAGGTTGCAGTGAGCTGAGATCATGCCACTGCACTCCAGCCTGGGAACAGAGCAAGACTCCATCAGAAAAGAAAGGAAAAGGAAAAGAAAAGAAAAGAGAAAAGAAAGCAAGCAAGCAAAACTGATCAATGGATCAAAACTTATTCACTAATTTTTTAACTTGAAAAAAATGAAGATAAAACAAACATGCATGGTATAGGAGAAAGTAAAAATAAGATTTAAAATAATCTCCTACAAGACACACTTAGAAAGAGTAAGATCCAATATTTGATAATACAGGACGACTATAGTCAATAACTTAATTGTACATTTAAAAACAACTAAAAGATTATAATTGGATTGTTTGTAATATAAAGATAAATGCTTGAGGGATGAACACCCCATTTCCATGATGTGATTCTTACTTACTACACGCCTGTATCAAAGTATCTCATGTACCCCATAAATACATACACTCACCATGTACCCACGAAAAATTGTTTTAAATCTCTTTCATTAATAATAAAGCCCCAAATCCCCAAATTTCTCATTAAAATATATACCTTGTGAATCCTTCTTATTAAGACAGATGCAAAAAACCGCAATGTTATTCTCAGTTCATCAACGAAGGATTCATCATCTGTCACATCCCTTCAATAAGGAGAAAAACAAATATTCAGAAGTTCAGAGAAATACAGTTTCACCTTCAAGAAAACAAGCAAAAAATTTCCTTTTGTCTGTTTACTTAACCTACTTTCCTTTTTCATTTACAAACAATACATTTCATTGTAGAATAAAAGAACTGTACAAAAAAGAAAACAAACATCTACCATAATTCTAGCATCAAGACATAATCCCCATTAACTAAATTGTAACATTTATTTCCTTGCAGACATATATGAGTACAATTTATTTTTACAATGCTGAGATCATGTTCTAAGCAACATCAAAGAAAGTTTAAAGAAGTAAAACAATGAACAATTTAGGAGAAGCAATAGAATTAATACAAAATTTTTAAACAGTTTAAAATACTTATATGTAAATTCTAAAAGTTAAAATAAAGTTATGCTCTATTTGAAAAAGAAATTAAATGAAACTCAAACATTTTGTAAAACAGAAATTCTGACAACCTTCAGCTGAGGAGTTACTTTCATTTTCCTGATGTTTTGAGGTCCCTAGAATTAGAACACTTCCCTAATCAAAGGCAAGAAAAGAAAGAATGACAATATCTTAAACTTGAAAATGGTGCTAATTGTTAACTTTCTTGGCAGAATAGGAAAGATAATTGCATCAACCACACCTCCCACTATTAACCCTAAAGAAGGGGATATTACAGCATCAATAGCTACCACTGAGAAGAAAAGATACTTTCACACTTAGAAATACAACCAAATTTCGTCTAAAGTGTCATAACGCAGAGATGGGAGAAGGTAAGGGAGTCTTCACAAAAGGATTCATTTTACAAAAGGCCTCACCATCAAACCATCAACTTTAATTAAATGGCAAATGCCAGACATTTAAGACAAATGTAAAAGATTAAGTTACATAGCTTTTACATTTACATTTTTACATAGCTTTTACATGTCTTTTTACATTAAGACAAATGTAAAAAATTAATTTACATAGCTTTTCAAGAAAATACAGCATAGAAACTGGATATTGCATTTGTGGTAACACATTCCGGAAGAATTCAACTAGTAGCATTTTTTTTTTTAATTCGAAAATTCAGCCAGGCATGGTGGCTCACGCCTATAATTCCAACACTTTGGGAAGCCAAGGCAGGTGGATCACTTGAGGTCAAGAGTTTGAGTCCAGCCTGGGCAACATGGCAAAATTCCATCTCTACTAAAAATACAAAAATTAGCCAGGCATGGTGGTGCACACCTGTAATCCCAGCTTCTTGGGAGGATGAGGTGGGAGGATCACTTGACCTGAGAGGTGATGGATGCAGTGAGCTGAGATCGTGCCACTGCACTCCAGCCCAGGCAACAGAGCAAGACTCCATCTCAAAAAAAAAAAAAAAAAAAAAAAAAAAAAAAAAAAAAAAAAAAAAAAAAAAAAAAAAATTCAAAATATACTTAATCAATATAAAATTGGGGTAGATGTCATTAAATATCACATGTATAAGCCATAGAGATGCAAGTGTTCAAATACATATACACATATATTAAACATGTGATGCTTAAGAAAATATGTATTTATTAAATGATATAAGTTGGATCTCTCTGATTCTAAAAATAAATTTCTTTCAAATCTAAAGTATTTTCTGTATCTTCAAAAGTACAAGGCCCTTGTACATATGTGGCATACACCAAAAACAAAGGTACTCTGGGGCAAAAAAAAAAACATTTATTCTCCAGGAAAACTACTGAAGTTATCTTTCAATTTAATGAAATATGTGAATATAGATTCCCTTCCAAAAGGTACAATAATTTCAAACGTGAAAACTGAATACAAAATTATTAAATCACTACATCTAGGAGGGATAAGGAATTCTACAAGTTACTTTCGTCTCAAAATGCAGCCTAAGTTTTCTTCTTCTTTATTATCACTAAATTATTAATTAACTGATACCTATATCAGTGGTTCTTAAATAGGGCCAGTTATGCCTTCCAGGTCATATCTGGCTACCTCTGAAGACATTTTTATTGGTCAAAACTGGTGGCAGAGAGGTCTGCTACCACCTAATGGGAGAAGCCAGGGGTGCTGCTAATTATCACATAATGCACAGTACAGCCCCCACAACAAATAATTATTTTGCCTAAAATGTAAATAGTGACGAAGTTAAGAAATCGTGGCCTACACCAAAAACACATCATTAGCATGCTCAACTTAATAGTATTCACTGTATCAAAGAAAAAGATCTTATAAAAAGAACATACCTGTACCAAGGATAAACAAAGTTTTCCAACACTAATTCAAGAACCTGCATAAAAATTATTTTTTAAAGAAACATAACATTAATTAGTTTTTGGAAAATAAATGGTACTATTTGGTAATGTATAACATTACCAAGAACCAACTTTATTATCACAAATAATGACAGTAGGCCAGGAGTGGTGGTTCACACCTGTAATCCCAGTACTTTGGGAGGTCAAGGCAGGTGTTCACTTAAGCTCATGAGTTTGAGACCAGCGTAGGTAACATGATGAAACCCTGTATCTACAAAAAATACAAGCATAAGCCGGGTGTAGCGGCATGCACCTGCAGTCCCGGCTATTTTGAGAGGCTGAGGCAGGAGGATCACTTGAGCCTGAGAGGCAGAGGTTGCAATGAGTCGAGATGCTGCCACTGCACTCCAGCATGGGCAACAAGTGAGCCCTGTCGCAAAAAAACAAAAACAATGACAGCAATATAAGGCTTTCACATGACAAAATGTATATTTCAACCTTCTATGATTTTGAGGATCAAAGAGAACATATGAGAAAACACTTGGAAAACCATAAAAATTCTACAAATAGGAAAACTTATTATTAGAATAACATGCAAGTATTTCTAAATATTCTCATAATCAAACAAAAAGTTAAATAAATTGCTCCTGAGCCTGAAGCTTAACTGAACCAAAAGTGTGCTATGGAAAGAAGAAAAAGAGCAAGTTAGTCCTTTGCATTCCCAACTTTGTAAGTCAGTATTTTCAGAATACAACGAAGAAACAAGCAGCAAGATTTATGTAAGGGGTCAAAATTAGGTGCCAGTAGGTACCTCTGACAGAAGTATAGTGGCTAGAGGGGAACATGACGGGGTATAATGGGATGCTGATAATGTTTTTTTCCTGATCTGAATGCCAGTTACACAGATATGCTCACCTTGTGAAAATTTTACCTATACACTCAAAATCAGTACGTAAGCTACAGGAGTGAAAAAGTAAGAAAATGAAATAAAACAAAACAAACCCTGGGTGTTAAATTTTCCATTTCTTGTATTTGGGTGTAGCAGGATGTCATAATTTTTACAAGGAGTTCCAACATTGGGCAGTAACTTAAAAAAGCAGTAGGGAGGCCACAAAACAGCATATCTAATCTAATCCTTCCAAAAACAGATCACATACTTCTCTGGCAGCAGTAACAAAGGCTGTGAATTCTCTACTTTAAATATCAAGAGAACAATAATTTAGATTTTTTTAGTACAAAAACTAAGCATTGTTTATATGAGTTGGGAAATGAAGATACATATAAACAGGGATAACAATGAATAGGATAAAGAGAAGAGACTAGAAAGAGTTATCATTAAACATCTGTTCTTCCTTTATTTCCCACATCCAATCAATCACCAATTCCTACTGATTTTATATCCTAAGTGGTGCTCTTCTACAGCACCATTGCTTGGGTCCTCATTTTCTTACCCCTCATACTGCAGCAATGGCCTCTCACCTCCCTGCTTCCAAGCTCACTTCCCTCCATCCTAAATAGAGCTGCCAAAGTAACCTAAAACATCTATCTGACCACATCATCCTCTTTCAAGAAATCCTCAATGTATCAAACCTGAATATATGAAAATAAGAAAGGTGAAATTGCACTGATTTTGAAGGGCAGCTGCTGGCATTCGGCAGCTGCATTACTTCCTTTTCACTCCCAGTGCACCCTATGAGTCTCATCTGAAAACTCAAGAAAATCACTGACTTGCAGTATCAATTAATCTTAACTCCATCAGCATAACCCTTAAAGTCATTTGATAGTGTGATTTCTAAAGGGCCATATAAAATACCAATTAAGAACTTAACCAGATCTGAGTTTTTGATTGAGTTCTGCAATCAGCCAAATATGAAACTTGAGAACATTATTAAAACTCTAAATTTCATTTACCTTTGGTAAAATTATCAATAATAGTACCCACTTCATAGGTTATATGTAGATTACATAAAATAATGCATGACCTTAGCACAGTGCCTAATATATAGTAAGTATATCACTAAATATTAACGACTAGAATATTGTTTCCTCATTGCCCACATCCTCCGTCACATTTTACTCTCCAGTTTGCTGAACCCTCTACCTTATTTCAAGCCTCTCTTTCCTTTTGAAAGCTCTACCTAAATCCTGAAATACCCTTTCCCACACTATTAGTCTGGCAAATCTCTAGTTATCCGATTTGACTGTCCCTCTCAATAGTTATTTACTTCTCCTCTACATCAATTCTATATATCTTAATTTTTTTGCCATTATTGCCTGCGTTAAGTTATATTGTGAATACCTGTTTATATGCCTGCCTTCACTTCTAAAGTAGAAAGGGACCATATCTTATTTCACTTTTAATCACTACAGCCTAGCCCAGTTCCTACCTGTGAAATCTCAAAATATGTTTTTAAATGTAAGAGCTAATATTTATTGAACACCAATATGTGCCAGGTACTGGACCAAGAGTTTTATAAAAGTCCTTTCATTTTTATGAATGAATATCTGACATGTTAAAGACACAAATAATAGCTGTTAGAAGTTTTCTTCAACAGACCTCAACTTGGCAGTCTCCGACAGAAATGTAAGTCACACATTAATTTTAAATTTTCTAGTAGCTACATGTTTTACAAAGTAAAAAGAAATAGGTGAAATTAATTTTATATTTCATTTAACCCAACATATCCAAAATGGTATCATTTCAACATGTAATCAATATAAAAAAATGAGATACTTTACATTCCGTTTTTCTAAGTCTTATCTTACTAAATCTTCAAAATCCACTATATATTTCACACACAGAGCACATGTCAACTTGGACTAGCACACTTGCAGTGTTTATTAATAGCCACATGTGGCCAGTAACTACCATATTAGACAGAGTCTTAAATCAAGGTATCTTGAAGATGAAAAAGGCCTTAGAGAAGCAAAGGAAAAAATGCCAAGTTTTAATGGGCTTTTATGCAGGATACAAAATAGGATAAAGAACAACTTAATGGGAATCAGATGCCTACTGCTCTTCTTCAACTAATTAGCATCCAGTTTAATTCAATACACTTTGATCAGCTACCAAAAATATTCATGATCCAATACTTGGTACTAGGAACAAAGGAGACCTCATTCCTTCTCTTCACGGACTTGAGTGTTTTGTCAAAACCACTGAGAAGACAAGTATCTAAAACACAGCTGGGCATGGTGGCACATGCCTGTAATCCCAGCTACTAGGGAGGCTGAGGCAGAAGAATCGCTTGAACTTGGGAGGCAAAGGTTGCAGTGAGCCAAGATCACGCCATTGCCCTCCAGCCTGGGCAACAAAAGCGAAACTCTGTCTCAAAAAATAAAATAAAAAATAAAACATGTTACCAAAAAGATACATATAAAATTTAACTATAATAAAGATACGAGAACATGCTTTCCATTCCAGTATTATGCAGAAGTAGTAAAAAATATCCCATTCCCTACTCTATACTTCAATTAGTGTCAAAACTGGGGTCATAATTCAGTAAGATATATATCTATTTGCTCCTTGCACTCCAGGGTTCCTTTTGGAATTACAAAATGATATTTCTACTGCCTTTATCATAAAGATTACTGTCTTCATCTTTATAACTGTTTCAGGTAAAGCAGTGCTTCCATGACTGTTTCAGGTAAAGCAGTACTTTCCTTAGCTAAAATGTATAAATTAAACATGAGATTCAAAAACATTTCTAGCTTACTGTTCAAGTGGCTTAGTTTGCAATAATCAACTACCTAACCCAGAACTGATTTAGGTGAAGTGTATTAAGATGTTCCATAATTATTTGGTAAAAAATTCTAAAAAATTTTTCCATAAGCATTTAACGATTTCTGTTAATTTTAAATCAGTTACCTCTGAGAGAGATGCATCAACTTTGGAAGAAATTTTCAGGTCTAGCCATGGCTGGTAGTTTTCAAGTAGCAAAGAAGGCCTAAAGAAAAATTACACAACTAAATCACTTGAAATCCAAATGTAATTAGAAGGATCAACAAAAAAAAAAAATATTTAACTTACCTATGTCGTTTACATTTCACTTTACCACAAACGGCACAGCTATGACCTTGAGGAAATAATTCCTGAAGTCCAAACTGCTAAAAAAAGAAAACGAGAGGTGGTGGGGAGAGCTGTCTTTAACATATTTCCAAGCTTAAAGTTAAAATCAATTGCTATGTTCACTTAAAAAAAATTCAATCTATATTTGGAAATGATAACTTGGCCAGGCACAGACAAGTGGCTCACACCTATAATCTTAGCAATCTGGGAGACCGAGGTGGGTGGATGACTTGAGCCCAGGAGTTTGAGACCAGCCTGGGAAACATGGCAAAATCCTGTCTCTACAAAAAAATACAAAAATTAGATGGGTATGGTGTCACATGCCTAGTCTCAGCTACCCAGGAGGCTGAGGTAGCAGGATCACCTGAGCTCGAGAGTTTGGGGCTGCAGTAAGCAGTGATCCTGCCACTGCACTCTAGTCTGTGCAAATCTAGCCTGTCTCAAAAAAAGGAAGCAAGGGAAAAGAAACTGACACTCTACCTCAGAGGTATAATAAGAAAAAAACTATTTTTTCTTTCTCTAAAATCTTGAATTTAATGAAAAAGTTATGAGGTAACTACTATAGTTTCTGATAAAATATGGGGCACCACTTTCAGTTGTGTTTCCTCTGAGTAGAAATACCAACAAACCTGAGATAAGATACTACATCAACTTAAGGAATTATTAAGACTTAAAGATATCCCACTTGCCGTGGCCTCCTTGGGAGGCCAACACTTTGGCCTAACACTTTGGGAGGCCAAGGCAAGTGGGATATCTTTAAGTCTTAATAGTTCCTTAAGTTGAGGTAGTGTCTTGTCTCAGGTTTGTTGGTATTTTGAAGGATTACATAATCCTAACACTTTGGGAGGCCAAGGCAAGTGGATCAGCTGAGATCAGGAGTTCGAGACCAGCCAAATTGGCAAAACGCCATCTCTATTAAAATTCAAAAATTAGCTGGGCTTGGTGGCGTGTGCCTGTAATCCCAGTTACATGGAAGACTGAGGCAGCAGAAATCATTTGAACTTGGGAGGCAGAGGATGCAGTGAGCCAAGACTGTACCATTGCAATGAGCCAAGATGGTGCCGCTGCACTCCATCCATCCTGGGCAAAAGAGCAGGATTCTATCTCAAAAAAAAGACAGAACACTAAACCTTGATCTACAGACCAGAACCTTGCTTTACAGAGATAGATCCAACACATTACCACCCTTCTTTACATTTCAGAAATAAATTACTTTGGTTATGCAAACTGCCTAATATCATATAAACATTTAAAAATGTAGTACGATTAGATCATTTAACCTCAAATTTCCTGAGTCTGTGCCTCAGAATCACCTGGAAAGCTTCTAACAAGCACTGATTACATGGCTCTAACCCAGAGCTAGTCAATCAAAACATGGTGATACAGCCCAGCAATCTGTATTTTTTAATTCCCCAGGAGATTTACTGTACAACCAGCTTTGGGAACCTCTGATTTAATTTATTGTCCTCGTGGTTAACAGAGGACACCCTAAACTTGTGGATCCCCAACTTTCTGAAAATTTTGTGCCACATTTTCTTTTTATAGCTCTTCCTAGGAGAATTGTATGCCTTAAAAGCATACACATATACACATTATATTTTGAAAATTTTCTAATAGACTTCCATCATTAATATTAGACAGATTTTTTAAATCACTTTTAGCATAGTACCTGAAAAAAAGAGAAGAAATTTTTAAAAAATAATTTTTATAGGTTAACAAAAAAATACACTGCTTTAGCAGGCTTTCAAATAATAGATAGCTGAGGCTGATACATATTGAACGCAGTAAGAACACAAAATTTTACCTTGGGTTTGTATTTTATTGTGAAGAATATATTTGGTAAGAGAGAATCAGGTCCTAGTGAGCAGTAGAATGTGACAACTCCAGCAACAAATGACCAGAAGATCATTAAAACATGAAGATACCTTAAAAATAAATGAAAATAGTCATTAGAACCAAAGAAAAGGCATAACTCTAACTTACTGCTTCATGGATTTAACAAGCAGCTTCATTGATTTAACAAGCACCTACAATATCATATGAAGCAATTTTTCCAATTATGATTGATTTTCTGTAATATAGTTATTAAATACAAGAGTCATAAAATGTATGCTATCAAATATATATTTCATTTAAAGTATAAGGAAGCATAAATTATCAATATTTCATAATTCATACCTATGTTTAAATAGTCTATACTACATTCCTCCAGAATACCTTCATATGATATTGTAGTATACATACCCCACCAAAATTCTGATTATTTTTCACTACATCAAAGGAATTTTACTAAGTACCTATTTTGTTCTACACAGTGCTAGGCCTTGGGAATATAGCAAGGAACTGCACTGCATAGTCTCTACCTGCATGGAAAACACTGTGTAGTAGTGGTGACAGGTGAGTAAAAAGAAGAACAATACAATGTGATCCATATGTGATATTACAACAGAAAGTCTGTGTAATACGGGAACACCACAGGCTGATTAGTTAATTCAAATGTGAAAGAACAGAAAAGTTTTTTCAGAGAAAGCAATGTCTACAGAAAAATTTAAAGGGTAAGTAGATGCAAACAAACAGAAGAGGATGGTATAGAGGTATGGAAGACTGGGGAAGAGGCAGGGGAATTCAAACGAGAGAAATGCATGGGCTTAGGTCTGTGTGAACATAGTTCTAAGGAAGAAGGCCTTAGGTGAATCTAAAAACAAAAGCAGAGGCCAAATAATATAGTGTCATATAATAGGCAATGTGTGTCTTAATACAGGCAGTCTTCACATGGCACAGTTCTGATATGCAAAAATTTCAGTTATCATGATTGTGTTAAATAACACCAATGCCCCAGTTCAAATGCCAACAACCCCAGTATATTTGTTAACTGTGAATAATTGCATGAAGTACAAACTTTGCTGCCAACTCATCAGTCTATAAATCACTATATAAATAACAGATGTGCATCATGATCATTGACCAATCACATCAGTTCTGTCAGTGACTGGTCACTCACTGTATATTGTTGTTCAGTGCATGCACAAACAGTAAACTATGGAGCTATGTTACCTCCTTGTCTTCCAATAATAAATATGCATTACATTTTACAAAAATGGCCATTATCCCACAAATATTAAAGAGAAACAAAGAAACAAACAGTGATCATGCAAGAAGTAAAATTCAAATCAAACATAAATTAAGTTACAGAAGAAACAGCTCACTGTGGTAATGATGACAATGCTGCTGTTCAACAGATTCTATGCAGCCAGAGAAAGAAGGGAACTTATTGGCATTAATGAGAAAAGTGGCTACAGCATAAGGATGAAAATGTCCCAGAAGAAGTGGCACCAGCAAAGGAACTCTTGGAGATTTCACAACATTGGATAAAACACTGAAGCTGATCCAAACTTCACCTACGCATGAAAAAGATATTCGCTCTGTATCCTATGTCATAGGATGAGAAGAGGACAAGCACTGTTTAAGTTACTCTTAATATATATTTTTACAAAGAAATAAACCACTTTAATTCTCAATGTTTCTAATGTTTAAAATTAATGTACTACTCACTTTACTATTTTTTTCATTTCCCTATACTATTATAACTGACAAGAGTTTTCAATTGTTTGACAAATTTTTTTAAAAGTCCATCATAATCTTCCCATTGATTAAAACCACTTTGCAGTTTCTGCTTGCACAATCGTTTTTACAGACTCTCACTACCAGACAAAGCAGGGACTGCCTGTATTATCCTACAAGCAAATGCACTGTAGGGATCTAATACTTTGTAGACTCAGTAGAGACTACCATCCCTTCTGTAAAGTGTTCTTTCTTTACACTCTATTCATGAAGTTCAAATGGAAACAAGAGCTTTTATCTCCTTAAGATTCTATCTCCCTCATTCAAGACTGGATTAAGAATGAACAAAACAGTAACAACAACAACAACAAAATAGGCCAATCATAGCATCTTCTTCCCTATCTACAGCTGACTGGTTCAGAGATGGACACCATCTGAGGCAACCTAGGAGGTAACTGGCATTTTAAACAGAGTGAATATTGCATGAACTAGGTTCCAACCAGTCTCGTTCATCTCATGACAGCAGAAACATGAAGCTGTAATAAAACTGATAGCCATATGCTTTGCCACTTAAAAGAAAGAGGAGTGAGAAGAGAATGAAGCCAGAATTCAGAGAGAAGAAAAAGCAAGGGGAAGAAAGTATTGGCAGTATTCCAAATCCTGCTTCCATGTGTCTTATGGGGCCCAGCTACACTCGTTATTTCTGCACTTACAAAACCTTCCAATCTTGTCCTCTTTGTTAAACCTAGTGTGAGTTGAGTTTCTGTTATCTACCATCAAGAGTCCTTAGCAGTATCTAGGAGACAAGAGATTTAAGAAGATTTTTAAGAATTTTTGAGAGTTTTAAGAAGGATATCATTAAACAACTGGAAGTTCACTCTGGCTGAAATATGGAAAATGGTCTAGACTGGAAACACACAGCCTAGTTAGAAAACTGTTGCAGTAATCTGTGAGAGTCAGTGATGGCCTAAACTAGGGTAGAGACTTAGAGATTTTAAAAAGTGAATTATTTTGAGAGAAAATGGGAGTAAAAATTGAGAGGATTAAGTAGCTGATTAGATGTGAGCAGAAGGAGCTGGGTGGAAGGAGCTCATGCCTATAATCCTAACACACTGGAAGGCCGAAGCAGGCAGATCACTTGAAGTCAGGAGTTCAAGACCAGCCCGGCCAACATGGTAAAACCCCATCTCTACCAAAAATACAAAGAAAACAAAAATTAGCTGGGCATAGTGGCATATACGTGTAATCCCAGCTACTCAGAAGACTGAGGCAGACAATCACTTGAACGTGGGAGGTAGAGGCTGCAATAAGCAGAGATCACACCACTGTACTCCAGCCTGCGTGACAGTGAGACTCCTTCTAAACAAATGAATGAATGAATGATGTAAAGAGAAAGGAAAGATGAAAAATCAGTTCTCTTTGGACATGTTAAGCTTCAGATACTTTAAAACATGCTACACAGAAATGTTCCACAAGCACCTAAATATTGGGTAATATAAATCTCTGGAGAGAATATGGGCTAAGGATAAAGGTTTAGGAATTATCAACATAAATATCACTGAAACCGTAGGAGTAAATGACATGACCCAGGGAGAATCTAGAGTTAAAGAAATGAGCATAAGATATTTAAGAACTAGGCAGAGGAAATCTATAAAGGAATCAAGTAATTAGAAGAGTTGGAAAGAAAACCAAGGGTCAAGTCATAAAAACTGGCAAGGTAAAAAAAATATATGTGGTCAACATGACCAAATATTTGTAAAATAAAGTGGTCAACGTGACCAAATATTTGTAAAATAAAGAAAAAGATTGAGAGGTGTTCATTAGTTTTTACAATAAAAGAGGCACTAATTAGGCAAAAGCAATTTTAGAATGGCAAATGATTACAATGGATTGAAGAGTGAGATGGAGGTGAGGAAGTGGAATCGGTGAATGCAGATAATTGTCTTTCTAAATAAAAGGAGCTAACACAGTAACTGGAGGGGGACAATAAGTTAAGGTTTTTGGTAAAAACCTGATCACATTTGAATGGTGATATAGAAGAAAAGGAGGTAAGAGGAAAAGAAGTAGAAAAAAAGAAATAATTGAGTGAATAATATCTTACAGAAGATAGGTGTAGTTAGTATTCAGAACCTAAATGGAAGAAACAGTTATAAATGAGAGCGATGTCTCTTCCTCAGTACTACACAGGAAGCATAGAAGGACGAATATGCACATTTGAGGATTTTGTAACAAGAATTAAATGCCACATAATGGCCTTTATATAAAACAGAAGATGCTTAGAGTAAATGACAAAGGTGGCATGACAGAAGTTCTAGAAGACAGGGGAAGTTCTGACACAGTTGCCACAGAGAAGGGAAGAGGGGGGTATTCTGGGGGTATTCTGGACATTACTGAGGCTGAAGACAACAAACTTTCAGTTGTGAGATCTTTTCCAGCAGCATTCAGTTTTCAGAATATGAATCTTAAAAAAAGCAAACAGCATCACCGATCTCAGATTTTGGTTTTGATAGGCGAGTATAATGGAAAGGATAGAGTTAAGGATACCGGAAATAGATTGCATGCAGTGACTGATGAACAAGGTATCTTAGCTGGACTGACTCTAAACTGCATCATAAAGTAGTAACAGAAGGGAACAACATATAGAAAGAAAGTAAAGTCAGGAAATTGAAATGTCAAGAAGCAGGAACAGTGTGACTAAATGAATGAAGCTGACACTGGCCAGTAAGTAAGATATTTGATTCTTAAGGTTTCAGAGGCAGTCAGGTACAGTGGCTCACACCTGTAATCCTAGCACTTTGGGAGGCCCCGGCAGGTGAATCACCTGAAGTCAGGAGTTCTAAACCAGCCTGGCCAACATAGAGAAACCCCGTTTCTACTAAAAGTAAAAGAAAATTAGCTAGGCATGGTGGTGTGTGCCTGTAATCCCAGCTACCCAGGAGGCTGAGGCAGGAGAATCACTCAAACCCAGAAGGTGGAGGTTGCAGTGAGCCAAGATCATGCCATTGCACTCCAGCCTGGGCAACAGAGTGATCTCTGTGGTAAAAAAAAAAAAAAAAATTCAGAGGTTAGTAGCTGGCATGCCACATACTCATCGATGGCCTGACCATCATCACCCAAGTGACCAACCCCAAAGAGGACAAGAGCCAGGTGTTGGCCATGGGCAAGAAAAACATCTATTCACTACAGAGATAACTGAAATGACAGCCAAGCAAAAAGCAAAAATAAGTAAACAAAAGAACCATAAGAAAAGAGAGAGGCAGAGCAAGATAGCCAAATAAAAGCCTCTGATCAGCCTCCCCACAGGAACACCAAATTTAACAACCATCTAAACAAAAAAAGTACCTTCCTAAGAACCAAATCCTAG